AGCAAGCGTCTCAATATAGATCTATGTCTATTTCTTTTTCTACTACCTAGCCTAAAAGTGCATGACATATTTCTTTTAACAATGCATCAAGAACCTTTCAGTGAACAGAATCTTTAATATTTATGAATTTTATTTATAAATTTATTTAAATGTAAAAAATAAAATAAAAAAGGCTAAATACTTTAGCATCAATGATAGGTTCTTTATTAATTTTTGCTATAGCAGCATTAATTCGTCGACCAAGATCTGCTAAAACCATATTCAATTTCTTTTATAACAAAAAAAAATTGTTACAAAAAAAAATACTTATGAAATGATGGTGACTGTGAGATTCGAACTCACGCCTCTTTCGAGACCGCAACTTGAGTGCGGCGCCTTAGACCAACTCGGCCAAGTCACCAAAATTATAAGTAAATTGTTTTAATTATATTTCTTTAAGACTTGCATCTTACTTAAATAGAAAAATGCACGTTCATTATATTAAAAAAATCACATTTTGTCAAAATTTTTAGATGTTATTAAAGCTAAAAAATTCCATTCCTGATAATAATATTTCTGGCTGTGATCAACTCCTTAGTACATAGATAAACTCAATGAGTTGGACATGAATGGCTGGGCATGGTAGCCTTACTTATCAAGAAATCCAACTTATTGAAATATGCAACTTTACAAAAAAAACCACTATTCTTTATCTAAATAAATATTCACACTAGTTTGTGTTAAAGAATTAATTTTTTTCTATCTATTTTTCATTTTAAATCTTTTAATCCTGATTATTTACTTGTACAGTCAAACCTCATCACAGCAGACTTGCCACAGTGGACAATAGTTAAATTCTTGTCATAATGGTTTTAAAATTTTTGCTTCACATATCAATATAAATATAAAAACATATAAAAATCCATTATGACAAGATTAGTAATCTTACCACAACAGATTTTAAATAAAATTTTCTGTTCACCTGGCTTGACTGTATATCACTATTCTGTTGCAAGTAATTATATATATATTGAATGCTTTCTAAAGCAATTTTATTAGATATTGGTAGGCCCGTATTTTCTTCTTCTTCAG